TTCCTTCCTTCCTTCCTTCCTTCTGACTGCTGGGCAATAGTGAGTGGGGTGTTTTTGGACGTTGGCCTGACGTTTCTCTGAGGGACAAAGGCGACAGGCGGATTGTGCCCTTCTGCTTCTGACGAAGGTTTCTGTTGCAGGAAATTGCTTCTTACTTGATCACCTTTGAGAAGCATGAAGAGTGGCTGTCGTGCTCCCCCAAGACCAGGTACGGGGGGGAGAGTCTGGCTGCCCTCAGATATGGGGACCTCTTGGTGTGTGTGTGTGTGTGTGAGAGAGAGAGAGAGAGTGAGAGTGAGCTGTGGTTCACCAAAGCTTATGCCAAGAACAACTGGGAAGATAGATAGATAGATAGATAGATAGATAGATAGATAGATAGATAGATAGATAGATAGATAGATAGATAGATTGATTGATTGATTGATTGATTGATTGATTGATTGATTGATTGATTGATTGATTGATTGATTGTTTGATTGATTGATTTGGGCCAGGAGGGCAACCTCTATCATCCCACTGTGGGCAACATTTTCTCTATAATCTGTTCAGCTGAGATCAGAAGCTGCTGGTCTCATTTTTTAAACATGTGCCTTTAGCTGGTGCAAGCAGACGTGGAGATGGTCACTTAAATGCCTTCCGTTTTGTTGCTGTTTTCCCTTTTTAAACACATCTTTGGGTTTCTTCCCACTAGGCCTCCCCACGCTGATTTGTTTTTAACTTCCCTGTTCTGTAATAACCTTCAAAGCGTGGAATGCATTGATTTAATTGGCCAGTTAATCCACATCCCGCCTTTTGCCCAGAACTGGGACAGAGAAATATTGAGCAGCGAGGAACCGAAACAGTGAAAAGCAGAAACTTGTTGTTGTTGTTGTTAAAAGGATCCACGTGTGTAGCATGCAACCAGAGAGTAAAAAGAGATTAAAGGTTTTGGGGAGCTGCACGAGGTGCCAAGGCCATTGCAAGGCCTCGTGCCAAATCCTTTTAAAAATTGAAGTCCCAAAGCTCTGCCTTCGGCCTTTAAAAAAGTGACCCAAGAGGAAAGAGGGGATCAGGTGGATCCCCCTGCAAGGTTGGCCATCCACAGCTCTGGTGCAGCTTCCCGAAATCCCCCTGTGCCTCGTCAGAATACAGCAGGGGCTTCTCCAAATCCCATCTCCAGAAGCGGGCAAATCCACAGGGTTAAAATGGGGAGGGGGCTGCTCCCCTCAGGACCCCAAGTCGTGAGGCCGGGGGGGGCTCTCCGGAAGAAGGTGGTCCAGGGTGGTCTGCACCACCACCACCAGCAGCCCATAAAAGCCCATAAAACAGGCAGCCCCCAGAGGGGCCTGGAAAACCTCCCCCCAACCTCCACAGGTGCTGCCCCCCCCAGACCCCGTATCGGTTTGGAAGGGATGGCTTGATTCCCACCCCCGAGAAGGCAGCCTTTCTCTGCTGAGATCCCTGGAAACGAGGGGGGGGGAAGAGAAACTGCTCCCCCTTCAGCCCAGGACGGAGGCTCTCTCTGGGCTGTGTCCCCCCCCCCGGCTCGGCTCACCCCCGAAGCTGCCGTTGCAGGGGACCCCCAGGGCTGAGTAGGTGGGGTGCACCTTCTTCAAGCAGGCAGCCCCCCCCAGGTTTGACGTTCCCGATTCATCCGATCGTGGCTCGCGTCCCAGAAGTAAATCTGATCATTCTGTGAGCCTGGGGGTGGCATGGGGGGGCTCCTTCCTAGCCCATTCCAGCCGGTCCCCCCCGGGCCCACCGCTCTCCTGTCCTCTCCCTTATCCCGAGGACGCCCGAGAGGGCTTGCCCGGGATCCGTGGAGTGTCTTCCAGTCGAGCACCACTCCCACGTGCGCAAGCTTCCAGGCCAGGCAGGTTGCTGCAGCAAAAGCCCAGGGCCTTTGCAGCGGGGTCCTGTGCGCTGATTTGCCTTTCCTCTCCTCCTCCTGGAAAGACCCCAGAACGGCTCCATCATCCTGTACAACCGGAAGAAGGTGAAATACCGGAAGGACGGCTATTGCTGGAAGAAGCGGAAGGATGGAAAGACCACCCGGGAGGACCACATGAAGCTCAAAGTGAAAGGGGTCGAGGTAGGGGGGTTGACGGGACGGGACGGGATGGGAGGAAGGAGGGCAGGGGGTCCACAAACAAGGGGACACAGCTGCCGGCCCTGGGTCAGACGAGGTGACTGGCTTAAGACGTGTTTGGGAGCAGTGCTCCTTCATGTGGCAGAAGACATCTGTTTGTCACAGTGTAGGATTTCCCCTCACCTTTAGTGGCCTTTGTTTTGTGATCGGTCACTGGAAGGTTAAACGTGGAGTTTATTTGCCAGGCTGATTGCCGAGGGTTGCCCCACGCCCTTCTGGGAAAGAGACCGGGTCAGTTGGAGGTGAGACGTGTGCCCTTTCTGGCCTGATTTGACCCTGGCACTCCCCTGGGGCAAAGCCAGGCGGGCTCAGTAAAGGGCAGCATGGAATGCTCAGGCCCCAGCTGGAGGCTTAGGGGGCCGTTCCCTCCCCCCACTTCCTACCCCCCCCAGCCCTCAGGCCTTGTTCCACCTCCTCCTTTGCTGTGGCGTCCTTTTCCTAAGGAGAGGTGCAGCCACCTCTGCTGATCGTGCCTTCTTCCGCCAGTGCAACAGGGTGGATTGGGCCCAAGGGAACAGGGGAAGCAAGCAGGCAGCAGGATCAGCAACAAGGAGCTGCCTGGGCTTCTCGGGAGGAAGGTGGCCCGATGGTGATGCTGCCAAGGGATTCCCCCAGCCTCGCCGCTTGGCCTGAGCGGGTGGAGTCCAGGGGCTGGGGGTACCAAGGGAGTCTCCATGAAATTTGGGGAGTGGGGTTCCTGCTGCTGGCAGGTTGGGTTGGTCTCAGGTGTACATGCTGGGCTTCAGGGCTTGGTGGGCAGGACAGGGTTTGAGGGCCTGATTCACCACCCAGCAGGACCCAACCCAGTGTCTTGTCTTTCTTCCCCCACTTTCTGCCCCCTGCTTTCCTCCCCTGCCAGTGTCTCTACGGCTGCTACGTCCACTCTTCCATCGTACCTACATTCCACCGGCGCTGCTACTGGCTGCTCCAGGTAAGGTGGCCCCCGAGGCCTTTGCCAACGGTCCTCCTCTGGAGACGGCACAGAGAGAGGAGGCGCTGAGTCCCAAGGGCTCGGCCGTGTGTGTGGGAGTGGAGCCGAGGAGGTTTTCCAGAGCAGGAAAAATGTCGGGCCAGATCCTGCCTGCCTGCCTTCCAACAAAATGGGGCAATGTAGCTGTTTTTTTTTTTTTTTAATTATTGCCGCTCTCCCCAAAACATGAGATTCTAACTGTTTCACACCGTTGTATTGATTTTTCTTTTTGGCTTTCTTTTTTAATTTGAAAAATTGCTGCCTTAGCGACGGGACAGTTTAGGAATACACAATCAGATAGAATCATCGTTAATCGATTGCGCCCTAAAGGTGATCGATGAACACATAAAACCAATAGAAATGCCATGAAAACACATCTCCGTCGGTCATGAAGCGGCACCTGTGCAATGGAAAGCATCCTCTCGCGGCCCCCCTGCTCGGTTCCCAAAGGCCTGCCTGAGTGGGAAGGGCTTCGCCTCCCTCAGAGCCCCCCTTTCTGATCGTTCCACCGAATAAGGTCCCCGGGAGGGCGGCAGGACCTGCAGACAGAACAAGCTGAGGAGGACGGAGGCTGTCCTGGCGAGACTCCGGGCCCGAACTGAACAGGCTTTCCTAGATCGTGGGCTGAAGGGCTTTTAGCTGGGGAAGCGGTTTCAGCCTAACTAACCCTGTCGCTTAGCGTTGTAAGTTACGCCAGAGTAGGCCCACTGAATTAGTGGGGATGTGGTGAGTCAACTCCTCCATTAAATTGCATAAAATAAAAATGGGCCTACTCGAGTGCCGCTTCTTGTGCTAAGCAACAGGATGTAAGCCAATACATAGCACATAAAAAAGAAGAGCAATGCCCTTGTAGCATAAAAACACAGATTGCTTGTTTTCTGAACGAGGAACAAAGGTTTCTGAAAAGATGCAGAGGGCCTGAACGTTTGCTTTCGCCTTCGATGGCAACGCCATCATCACCCGGGTGCATTTCCTCAAAGCCTTTTTGCATGAGCTGCTCCGTTTGGAAAGATATTGTCCCCATCCTGTATATTTGTGTGCTTGGCAGCCCTACTTAATTTGCCTCATTGCAGGCCTTGGGATTTCGCTCTTTTGAGTCTTTACTTCCTTAGTTTTGACCTAGCTGCGTTGGCCCCCTTGGTCTTCTGGGGCTTTTCTTTACCTCCACGCCTGGGGGGTGGGGGAGGCGGGAGCCCAGGAAGCATGGCTGGGTGGGGGCCTGTCCAGGCCCACCTGGTGGCGGGGGGGGCAGGAGCAGCTCAGCAAATACAGAGCAGAGTTTCCATTGTGTACTGAAGGCGGCGGGGGGGGGGGGGGGCACCTCCCTCCAGGTGTGGGTTTTTGTTGTTCTGAGCTCCAGTTCCCATCCCAGCACAGACAGCGAAGAGGAATGATGGGATTTGTGATTCTACGACACCTGGAAGTAATGGAAGGTTCCTGACTTTGGTTTCGCAGCGGGGGGGGGAGAGCCCGGGGATCCGCTGCAGCTTTTAACAAGAACTTTAAAGGCGAGGAGGACCCATCGGCTTGTTTAACCCATAAGAGTTCAGCCCCTCAGACAGTTCTGGTCGAGTCTAAAACCTCCTCCTTTTCCTCCTCTCAGAACTGCAGGGCTGGAAGAGAGACGATGGATCATTGCCTCCGGCCCCTGCCCCTAAGGAAGCTTGCTTTATTCAATTGCGTGCACAAACCCCTATGCAGAGCTGGTTCTCCTGGCCTCTTTCTCGGGGAACCCAGGAGTCCTGTTCCCTTGGGCACCCCTGAGAGAGCTCTCTGGCAGTTACCTGGTTTCACCCCCTGGGCAGCCGGGATGCTGGATCTTGGCCCCAGGCCCCTCTGCCCATGATGTGCCAGTCGGAAATAGAGGGGCTGGGCTCAGAGTTTGGAAAAGCTAGATTTTTTTGGACAAGAGCTCCAGAATCCCCCAGGCATCCTGGTCCAAAACGCCATATTTCCCAAACTCTGGGTGGGCGTTGGCCGGATGGCCTTCCCTCCCCCTGTCCCGAGGTTGTCCTGGAAGGGCTGCCGGGTCAGAGGCTTAATTCCTGGGAGGGGCCCCTCTGTTTCGAAACCCCCTTTTGCCCCCAAGGGAACCTTTCCCGCTCTCAGCCTCCGTTCTCCTCCCCCCCCCCGCAGAACCCGGATATTGTGCTGGTTCACTACCTGAACGTCCCGGCGATCGAAGACTGCGGGAAGGTCTGCGGGCCCGTCTTGTGCTCCATCAACAGTGACCGGAAGGAGTGGCTCAAGTGGTCAAAGGAAGACCTGGTGGGGCAGCTGAAACCCATGTGTAAGGAGAGGCCGTGGGGGTGGGGGGGTGTTGCTTCCTTCTGCGGTGGGGCAGGCCTGGTAAGAGCTGCTGCGGAAGAGGGGTGGCTCCAAAGGAGGAGGGCAGAGAGGGAAGAACCGTGCGAGAGGGATTGCACCGCTGGGCGTGGAGGGGATCCGGTTCTCCCTGCGCACGCAGAACTCATGGCTCAAGGAGGGCATCGCAGTTGTGAGCAAAAATGTTGGGTTGGTTTCTTCGAAGAGTTGAGTGCCAGGATTTTGCAGGGCAGATCCAAGAATCCAAGCTGTGCTACATACACCGCCTAGAGTCCTAGAAAAGTGAAGTGGGAAGGGGGCCCAAGAACGCCATCCAGTCCAGCCCCCCCCCCGCTCAAGGCAGGAATCCACCAGGGGCTTGTCTGAGTTTCTCTTGAAGGGCTCCAGGGCTGGAGCGCTCACCCACTCCCCTTGAGGTCAATGGTTCCACTCTTGTGCTGGGGAGATTTTTCCCCCTGATATTTATCCTAAATCTGGCTTCCTTTAACTTGAGCCCATGGTCGCATGTCCTGCACTCTGGGACAATCGAGATCTTGCCCCTCCGCTGTACGACAGCCTTTCAAAGATTTGGAGAGTGCTGTCCTGTCGGTCTTCTTTTCTAGCACCCTTTCTTGAAGAGCAGTGTCCAGAACTGGACCCAGGACTCAAGAGGAGGCCTAACCAGTCCTGAATAGAGGGGGACACTAGCACCTCACAGGATTGGGAGACTATACTTCTGTTTCGTGCGGCCTAAAATAGCATTTGCCTTTTTTTGCAGCCACCTCACAGGGTTGGCTCCTGTTCCGCTTGTGGATGTACGATGACTACAAGATCCTTTTCTTGCTTGTAGAAGGTGTTAACAAACCACGGAGGCCAGTCCACCACAGCACCGAGGGTCCTGGGGGAACTCCCCTAGGAATCATCCTTGTTCTGTGGCTCCTCATTCGTAGATGCCGGAGAGGGAGGCAGTGGGGTGGGGAGGGGGCGAAACCAGACCAGAGAAGGACAAAGAGTATGATCTTCTGCAGCTAGGAGCTTGGATTTATTCAAATGCAGGGGTTTGCACTATGTTGGTAGACACCCGCCCATCATTTACGCCTGCGTGATGCAGCTATTATATTCTGGAACAGGGCTGACACAGCGATCTCTCCGAAAACCCCCCCCCCCCGGGAGCTGCTGTTTTTGTGGGCGACCGAAGTGCCTTGGCCACTGCCTCTTGCCAGCTCTACCAGGCCTCTTCTCTGGGGGGGGGGAAGAGGGGGGTTTAAGTGCTTCTGTGGAGGGACTGTGGGACTGATACGGAGGCTTGACCCCAACTTAAGCCTTCTGGGTGGAGGCGGCAGCGTTTCCTCTTCTCTCTCCTCCGTCTTGCAGTTCACGGGATCAAGTGGACGTGCAGCAATGGGAACGGCACCACGGAATTCTCCATTGAGCAGCTGGTCCAGCAGATCCTCGAGAGCCACCAGGCCAAGCCTCTGCCCCGGACGCACGCCTGCCTGTGCAGCAGCAGCACCAGCCTCGGTCAGTCCTCCCTTTGGCTAGGGGGGAGGGGCTCTGTCCCTACCCATCCCCACCAGTCGAGGGGTCCTCCTGGCTGCTCCTTCTCTCCGGACAGGGACTTGATCCCCCCCCCAGTCATGAGCTGGACTTCCCTGCTTCAAGAGGGAGGAGAAAGGGTGTGTGCAGGAGAGACACAACAATGTGTAGAGGATGCCTCCTGCCAGCCGTTTGTACCTCCGGAGCTGAACGGGGGACCTTGATGGCGCCTTTGTAATAATTTCGCCACACCCCCTGCCCCTTAGCAGGACACCCCTGTTTTCTGTGGGGAGGTGGGCTCTAAGTCAAAGCCATCTCCTAAAAGCAGCCCCCCCCTTCTCATTCTAGCATATAAGGGGGGAAAGCCATGATCCAATGCGGTGTAGTGGATAGAATGGCACACTAGGATCCAGGAGGCCTAGGTTCAAATCCTTACTCTACCATAGAGACTCATAAATTTATGTGTGTGTGTGAGAGAGAGAGAGAGAACTGGTAAAAATCACTCCTTGAATACCTTACCTCACTTAATTTGAAAGCCCTGTTAGGGTTACTATATGTTGGTTCCATACGTTGGTGGCACATCACCACCCACAGAACAGGCCTGGGGGGAGAGCTCGCCCCGGCTGAAATACCATTTTAATCTGTGAAGAAGATTTGGAAGAAATACAGAGATGGGTCATTTTGGGTAGAAGACCTCTGACGCCAACAGGAATGGGTTCCACCACAAACTTAGCAACGTGTTCTTTTTGCAAACCATGGAAGGAGCAGTTCCAAGTATTCTTATTTTGTTACTTTATGTATTTAAAATAGTTTTACCCTGCCTTTCTCCTTAAAAAAGGACTCGAGGTGGCTTACGTCATTAGAAGATAGTAGTTAATGCTAGCCGCAGTGAGGATGCAAAGTGCAAGAGAATCAAGCAAATGTTTTCCTGATTCTTGTTGTTCTCTGCTGTCAAGTCAGAACTGGCGTGTAGTGACCCTGGTAGGGCTTTCAAGGTAAGTGAGATATTTAAGAAGTGGTTTTACCCGTTCCACAGGTCTCCAGACTCCTAGTCCATCACTCTATCCACCACACCACACGGGGGACTCCTTAATTCTTAGGTTCAGAGAATCTCATGATAGAAGTGGACAGACTTTCCAGTCCTGCAAACTTGGCCTTCCAACTTGACTTCCCCCCCACTGCCCTCCTGTGGTCAAACGGTGCATTGCAGCAACATTGGGGTGGGAAACCTCGGCAGGTTTGGGGGGGGCAGGGGGGAGCCCTACTTTAGAGAGGGCTTCTCCTGTGTCCGGCCCTTCCTCCCAGGGGCTGCCCATTCTGCCCGGGGATTCTGGGAGTTGTTGTCCCAAAAGGAAAGTTCCCCAGCTAGCCGCCAGGTTCTCTTTTGTCCTGAGAATACCAGGAAAATTTTTAAAGCAAACAAAAAAAACAAAAAAAGAAAAAAAAAGAATTTCAGTCGAAGTCTTGTGTGAAATGTCCCGGCCACGTTGGAGGCTCAGCAGCATTCCCCGGGTCGGGAGGGGAGGGGAGAGGAAGAACACCTGCCCTGCCCGAAGCTCTGCAGCGCCCTCGTTGCCAGTGAAGATGGGCAGGGGGGGGGTAAGGGGCCTCCCGAGGTGCCTCCCTCTTCTTCTTCCGGAGCCCAGAAGTTTTTATCCAAACCTCGTTCCCCTCTCGGCCACTTCAGCCGCCCTGTCGGCCAGCCATGTTCTTCCCTTCGTGCCTTCTTCCAAGAGACGGCGGGCGCTCTTGAGGAAAGCGCTGTCCGGAAACGCCACGGCCACGTCTCGTTTGAGTGCCCTTTTGGGGGGGGGCATGTCCCTGTCTCTCCCCTGCCCGGCCCGTCCTCTGGGCTTTGCTTTCTTCCGCTCCCAGCACGGCCGAGCGCCGGCGCCGGAAGGGAGCCTGACGGGTCGTCTGCCCCAGCCCTCTTCCGAGGCCGGACACCCACCGCTCAGGCCTCCCCGATGGCCGGGCCTTCGGCCTCTGGTGGAGGAGAGCCCTCTTCCCTCCGAGGCAGCAGCCGGTCCCCCTGCAGAGCAGCCCTTGACCATGAAGAAGAGTCTCCTGGAAATCTCCCCTCTCATCGTTTGAGCCCCTTCCTTGGCGTCGTCTCTTCCGGGACGACAGGAAGCACATTTTCTCCGCCGTCCACCCAACAGCCGTGCAGATATTTGAAGGGAAGCCACTTTTCTCCTCTCACGTCTCCCGCTCGGGACGCTACAGTCATCCGCTCTTAACGCCCTCCCTCCGAGAAGGAGGCGAGTGGGTCGGCGACCCCAGGCGAAAGGGCCTTGCCAGGGGGTGGGGCCCTGTCCCGTGGCCCCTCCGCCCTAGAAAGCCACGCCTGGGGCCTGCTGTGTGGCCTTCTTTATGCCAGGGGAACACGTTCTCCTGCGGCCAGGCGCTGGAAGAATTATTTGGGGGACTTCACACTCTTTGGTTTTGCGGCTGGTTTTCGCCTCTCCCCGCTGATTTAACGTGGAGTTTTTTAATGCCCTGTTTTTATTGTACTTTGGCTGCTTGTAATTTACGTTTCTAGCAGATTGCCTGCCACCAGGAGGTCTCTTTGGGGATGGGGCAGATGAGCGAAGAAGCCGCACCCTGACAAACACTCGACTCAGTTCCCTTTCCGCCCTTCTTCCCTTCTCCCGCTGCTCCCCTGCAGGGAGTCCCGGCCACGTCCCCCACAAATGCAGCAGCACGAAGCACCGGATCATCTCCCCAAAAGTGGATGCCCGTCCTTGCCCCTACCCTGCGCTGACAGAGGTCCAGAACATCTCCAGCGGGGGCCCTGAAGCGAAAGCGGAGCCGGAGCCCGGCCGGACGCCTCGACCCGACACCAAGGACCTGAAAGGGGCCAAAGGGGCTCCCCCCGAGGTGGCCGACGCCGCGCCGGACTCCACGCAGCCCTCGCCCGGCCAGGCCCAGCCCAAGGGCGGCCTCCCCAAGCAGGAGCTGCCGGCGGTCACCCTCTCCGTCGGCCTCCCCGGGAGCACCATTTTGGTCATGACAGGGCTCGGCG